AGAGTCACCATGTAATGATAAAGAAATTAAGTAATTTGTTGTGCAAAAAATCTCGATTTATAAATAAATATCATATTTTACTTTGTACTCAATATGGAAACTGATAAATAAATCTTTACATGGCATTCAGATCCAATTATTGTACAGACAGAATATTAACAAAAAATAAATCTCCAATAAGTCAAGCAAACAGAGCCATCTGATATAAAATCTTAGAAACAAAATAAAAAAACACATACCCTCTCTTGTGAGTTGGAACTATGAATTGGAATATCCCTTGTTTTAGAACAGCCCGGTACCTTCTTCCTAATAAGCTCACTTAACGTCTGTATTCCTCTTCTGTAGTTGAATACCATGCCTTTTGTACGAGTATTTCTTCTCACTGTTTGTCTAAATTAGTTGCTTCGGATCAACTCTCCTATCAACACTTTTACACAAATCTTTAAATGAACTCTGGGAACTCTGGTGGAAAATCCGAAACACTCACTTTTTCCTTCTCAAGAAAGGACTTTATCAACTTTGCGGCATGTTTCGGGACGTTGTCTTGACTAAACTTACAAACGAAAGGGATTTCCTCGCGGACATAAAGTATATTTGACAGTAATATTTCTTTGTATATCCCCGCATTCATAATTGTGTTTATAACAACGGACCCATACCATATCACGAGAAACATTCCCATACCTTTTCACTACCTCCTCCATGTTTCACGGTTATTAAAATGTACTTGGGATTGGTTTCCTAATTTGGAGAACATCGCACGTATACCTTTCCATCGGAAGAAAATGTAATATACTTGGATTCGTCCGACCAGTTTCGTAAATTGTACCACGAAGAATCCTCGTTTTCCGTTTTTTTTAGTCGTTTCGGAATATTTCGTTTTGATACATGTGGTTTGTTTTTGTTTTGTTTTTTTTGCAATTAGTTGTGAAGCTCGTAATTTTCCCCAGAACAATTGAAGTAGGTAATTCAACACCATAAACCTGTGATTTTTTTGTTATTGTATCTGATTGTTTTTTGTTTGTTTCTTTCTTTCTTTCTTCCTTTCAAAGAAGGTGTTGATCGGAATGAATCCTTCCGAATTTCCAAGCTGATTTGTCGATCCATTCGTGGAGACGTTTTCGCGGTCTGCTTCTATTTTCAGGAATCTGCTTTGTCTGTTTACAATTGTGAATTGCATACTGGACTCGCTTTCGCGAAACACGCACTTTTTTTTCCAGTTTTGTTCATTGAATAACCTTTTTTCCAAATGCTAAAAAGCACCAGTCGTTCAGTCTCAGTGGTGTGTTTTGCACGACCCAGCTAAAATGTTCAATAAAATACCTAATGTAAGAACACCACGTGTACATCATGCAATCACAGACACTTCAAATAGAATCGCTACTATTATATTATACATGTTTACAGTTGCTCTATGACTGATGAATTTGAACCTTGTTTCTAATCTGCCTAGCCGGACACGTGGTTCGCGGACTGTTGTCTTGTCCTAATAGGTTAGGTTAGGGTTACTGATTATAAAAAAGGGGCCCAGACATTCGCGCGAGAAAATTATTATGGTTTATCTTTGTTATCATAGGAGGTGCTAGGGATGGCACTATTTTATTTACCGCTACTGTATATGAGCGTCCCGGCGTATATGACGATAACATTGTAATATTGCGAGAAAGTATGTGCTGTTGTAGCTCCACTGATTTTCCTATCTCTTGAAAAATTCTCTGCAGCAAACGAGACGCAGTATATTCGAATTTTCAATATTCGAATGTTCAGAGGTTTTAATGAAAATCGGACTTAAAATTTATTAGCGTTTCTTCTCCCATTACGGGGGAAATTTCAAAGAAAAAATGCTTTGTCCACATCAATTTCAAATTCGCAGGACCTCCAGTATCCACTTTGGAGAAAATCTTACGGGTATGCGGGTTGGGCGCTAGCTTTGTTGACGGACTGTGGGACAGTTAAAAAGCATCCTTGTGAGAGTGAGGGACCCCGAAAACACGGATTTCGGTGAAAATATCTTCATCGACTCTTTTCTTTAAGTTAAACATTATTTCCTGTGACGTTGTTTAGTTTCGAAAAGCAAATTTGCAAGCTAAAGTGAGATGAATTTATCTTTCTAACATGTACCTGCATAAAACCTAACAGGTAAAGATATCAAACATATAGTCTTTCCTCTATGGTTATACTAAACTCCAAAAGCAATTAACATTTGCTTGTTTCGTTGTCATTTTCGAGTTTTAACCCCTTTTCGTGAAGACCAAAATGGCAGTAATTTCGTGAATCCATACTCGTACAATGCCATCTTCTCTTAGCAACTTATAAAATGTTTCATTAGTGTAGTCAATAAAAATAATTTATGAAAAATGCAAAAGTGTATGAAGCTCATGTATAAAGTACAAGAACATAGGGTTGACTTTTATATTTCAGGATTAGGGAACAAAAACAAATATTAATCATCGAAAATCATTTCATTGTTTTTGAAAATATTCCCCATGAAGATATGTACACTTTTGCATGCGTTTGAACCAATTATTGCAAAGCACTTTTGCCACTCTGATTGTGATATCTTCAAAACATGCATTCTGAATGCAGCAACCGCTTCTTCAGGTGTCGAAAAACGTTTACCTCTCAGTTTGTTTTTTACCTACGGGAATAAAAAGAAGTCACTTGGTGCCAAGTCAGAACTATACGGCGGATGACTCATCAAATCGATGTTTTGGGTGGTCAAAAATGCAGTTGTTTGAGCCGATGAGTGAGAGCTCGCATTGTCATGTGAAGAGTGATCCGTCTTCGGCGGTTGGTTTTCCTGATTTCTTGGAAGACAGATGGCAAACAAATCGTTGTGTACCACTTAGAATTGACTGTTCTGCGTTGTTCTAGTGGTACGGTTGCGACATGTCCATTTTTCCGAAAAAACAGGCGACCATTTGTTTGGAAGTGCTTCGTGCGCGAACTTTTGTTGGATTTTGCTCATCTTGAAACACCCATACAGTCGACTGCTGTTTACTTTCGGGCTCACACGCGTAAATCCACGATTCATCACCTGTCACGATGTCATAGACGTGTTTCGAAGCACCGCGATCGTATTTTTTGAGCATTTCTTTCGACCAATCGACACGAGCCTTTTTTTGAGCGATTGACAAATTGTGTGCGATCCAACGCGAACAAATTTTTTTGACAGTCAAATATTCATGCAATATTGAATGTATGCTGGTCCCACTAATGCCTAAGGTTGTCTCAATCTCACGATAGGTCGCATGACGATCTTCCAATATCAGTTCAGGCACAGCATCAATGGTTTTCGGAACAACTGATTTTGGACGACCTTCGCGAAATTCGTCTTGGAGTGAACTACGACCACGATTGAATTCACCATATCATCGATAAACACTGTTCCTTGATGGAGCTTCATCGCCAAAAATTGAATTAAGTTCATCCATGCACTGTTGCTGAGTTAATCCAAGTCGAAAGTTGAAAAAAATAATCGCACGAAAATGTTCACGATTTAATTCCATTTTTGGGCCAATATGAATATTAAGTTACTGTAAACAACACAAATAGCGCTCGTATGTCAAAACGTTCTGAGTACGTATAACCTCAAAACATCCAACTTTACTATAGAGCTGTCAATTGCCAGTTTGCACCAGGGTTGCCAAATCCCGAAACATAAAAGGCAACCTTCGTAGTATTTGTAAGTTTATCACAATTCTTGTCGAACCGAATCAAAATTAGTCATAATTCTATGGTTTTTACTCACCCTCTATTGTTTTGTCTGTTGGCCGAAGAGGCACCTCATCATCTTCCAGAATTTCTTCAGTCGTTGCAACCAATAGATGTATACGATATTGTATTATGTTCTTGCTTTTACACCATAAACAATGGACATTTCCTTTGGAGAAGAATGGGCAACTACATTACAACTTCTTGTATTGTCTTTTCCACGAAGTATAAAGGTGTACCTGTATACTTCCGTGGTCTTTCCATTAACATCCTTTCCCGTTTCTCCAATTCGACGATATCGTACCTAAAGAAATTAAAACTGAGTTATTTGAATTAAACCCTGATAGTTATTTGGCGGAAAAAGAACGGCGTAAAGATAGGAGGGTTTCACGGGAAATCCATTCATATTTTTATTCATTATAATTTGCAATAAAGTCAATAGAAAAGGGTAACTTTATTTACTTGTTTATTTTTTACTGTTGTACGGTAAATCGTTAGTTCAAACGTGAACAAGAATTATACTCTTGTCTTTCAGTCTTGTTGAGTATTTCAGTCAGTACTGTTGTTACTCTTTTGTCAAGCATGAGCACTACGCTTGTAACCAGTCGATTTAATAATCTACTCACATACGAAACAATTCATCCTGCCAATTTGAGTGATCCATATCCCGGAAATTCAGAGCAGGAGAAAATTATTGAGGAATTTCTATATCTTGCTTTATTTTTCCCATGCAAATAAAAATATCCCCAAACTTTCCACAGAACAAAGACATTCTGCAACTTTTCCTTCATGAACATTTTATGGAAATTCAGATGACAAATTGCATTCAAATCCACCCAGAAATTAAAGTACCATGTGTTCCACTTCACAGCTATTTTCTCCTCTCAAAATAATTCCATAAATCATTATTTTTTCCCTATAAATTTACGCAAAATCATTGCTCTAAAAATTTCAACATCTCTTCATAAATAATCATTGATTTGTATAATTAATATATAATTAACCTTTTTCCACATTGAATTTTCTTTATTCAATGTGTGTATAATAAAGTGTTGAGTAAAATCTGCAGTTATATTTTCAAGTCCTCAAAAGAGGACTGAAGGACTAAAAATTAATTAAAAAGTTAATTTTTAAATCTATTTTACTTTTCTCTTTTTTATTACCTGCATCATATTCTTCAATTTTTGGAAAGTAAACTTGAAAATAAATTTGATGTTTAAGTTCTCATTATATTATGAACAGAACAAAAACTTCAAAAATTGACAGGAATAAAACACGAGAATAAAACTCTTTTCTCATTGGAATAAAATATCTAAAAAATACATGCTTTATTATTACACCATAACATACATGTTCACATGTGTATAACAGATATCAAAATATTGCAACAAAACTACAGGAAGAGGCTCAGATCTCGTATCACAACAGTAGAGCCTATGGGAACACTGCAAATTCATTTCAATAAAATCACGGTGACATCAACAGGAAACCAGAATAAAATACACCTGATATTTGTTCATATCAACTGAATGACTCGATTGTCAAAAAGTTATGATCAGTGAAACAGTCAAAGGTAATAAAAAATATAAATATGGTAAAATGTGCATTGCATACATCATCTTAAACCTTTATAACAATTTATAACAATAGATAATGTTATATACAGCTAGTCAGATAACAATAGGTTCAATATCTAACAATCACTGCTTGTCAACTAGTTTGGAACAGTGTATCTCATAAGGCAGGAAGCGAAGAGAGTGCCTCTTGGCCTAAGAGATCTGTGGACAGATTCTTAACCACAATTTCCCCAGTCAATGGCCTTTACACTCATTTCAAAGCATCCAAAGTCAGGAACCACACCTTAACACAGCAAACAAACACTCATAAATTGAATCCCTTGAATGGTAACCAAATGGTTGCAATTAACAAGGCATTCTTTAGGTAGAAACTCTAAAATTAATTCGGATATTACTGTAAACAATAAATATGAAAACAAAGCAAAATACTAGCTCAACTTTTAGAAAAGTGGCCCAGCACCTTTCAAAAAATAAAAGGAATCAAAAATACTTGTATCATGCTTACAAACAAAAGTAAAGACAATCAGAATACACAGAATGCAAAATGATAAATTATCTGAATAACATAGAAGTCAAGTTTAGAGCTCCTTGTTTTAATGCTATGCATTCTAAAACTAAAATTTGCCCACAAACTAGTAAACTCATTCTTTATGCTCATCCTACTCGTACTTGTAGATAACAAACTTATTGCTCTCTTATATACGAAACTAATTTTGTGAATAAAACTACACTATTAATTGAGCTACTGTGTACCAAATAAGATTTCTTTCTACAAGATCAAAGAATTGAATCTACAAAAAAATGAGTACCTCCAATTCTTTTCTATAGTTCTTTTTATGACTACATGTAACAATATTTACACTGAAATTTACATCTAAGAATATTGCTTTGGTAAGGGCTAATACACTTTCTATGTATTAATGTAATGTAAGTTTTAAGAAATTGACAGTTGTGGATTATTGGCAGAGCTTGGTTAAAAATTTTAAAACGGCATAATTTTAGCACTGGAAGCAACATACCACAGATATTTTGTTTATTATTTGGCACAAGAGATTGAAGCAACTGTTTAAAATTCATATTCATTCTCATCAAACATATTAAATTCAATGCAATTCAATCCAGCCTTGGTAAATTAGTAAGAGAACAGCAGGTACAAAATATAAGTTGATAAATGAACATGTCTGGTGAAATATTCAATAAGTGACAATAACTTTAACTTTTCCTTAAAATAAAGTGTGCTCTGCACATATTGTTGCTTCAATATCAAACTGGTAGTTTGTGCAGAGGAGAATCTGAATTATGCTGCCTCCATTGGCTGCACAACCTCAGAGAGATTAGTATGCATAAAAGTAATGTAAATGAGGACTTAAAATCAGTCTCAAGAATACCAAACAGTTTATATATATATACATCTGTATGGCATACATATACAAAAGTTCTATTAATCTACACAATTTTCTAATAGTATTGTTCAAATCCTCCGTTGAAACAAAGAAATAACTATTATTTCTTCAGTATATTGACAAGTTTTTGAACACTAATGGAGCACAATAGAAAAATCCATGCACCCTTAAAAGCAACAGATTTAAATCTCATGCTCGCATTGTGTCCACATTGTTTTCAGATACAACATGTGTGGAAGCTTCTGACCCACTCCATGTTGCCATTTCACACTGGGTAACGCTGACTGTATCAGAAGCGTCTTCAGAATAGGAAGACCAAGGTTCTGTGTCTGAAGACAAATTGCCAAGCTGCCTCCGTGGCCGTAACCTCCGAGCTGTTTGTCTGGTTCGGAAGGAAGAGCTACGTGACGCAGCAGGCAATGTGCCTCCATGGTGAGGCCTCATAAGAGGACGAGACTCCTCTTCTTCTGACGTGCTGAATGCACGTCCACGCACAGGAGCAGGAGGTTCCCTAACATAACCCAGAGGCACTGCATATGGTGAATTAGAGAGCAATTCCTTGGGAGGCATGGCAGGAATAGGTGGGGGACAATGGGCAACGCCAGCATTATCATTACTATACAATACAGGAGAAACACTGTACGGTGAAACATGAGTACATTCTTTCACAGGAGTTGCCTGCATGGCATAATCACAGTTTTCCACATTCTGTAATTCATCACTGCTGTACATCTGACCTGGTGCCATATGTTCCTGCATTAAATACCCTGTGCTGGATGTTGTCATATTGTAGGACACTTCTTGCTCCTGAACATTTTTGCGATGGTTTTTGAAAGCACATACAGTAAGGATGGAGCAAATTATCACTAGCACAAGAGGACAAACTCCACTCAATATGTACACTAATAAAAGGAAGGTGTCCTCTTTTTCAATCACTGTCTCTAGAGCACATGATGTTTGATTACAAGTCAACTGCACAAGAGCACTAGCCACAGAACTGTTAGATAAGACTTCATCTGAACCCTCTGGTGTACAAGATCCCCACAGCTGAATACCACGATACATAGCCCATTCCCACAATGTCTTCAATTCACAGCTGCAGCTCATGGGATTTCCGTACACCCGAAGGTATTTTAAACTTGGCAAATCACACACGAGACGCATGTGGAATGTCCTGAGGTGGTTGTTAGATATGTACAAATGGCTCAGAGATTCTAATGATGCTAAAGCTTCTCTAGTGATGTTTTCCATGGAATTATTATCCAGATATAATAATCTTAGATTGGCAGTAGATCCAAATACATCATTTTCTATTGCTTCAATACTATTATTCTGAAGGTATAATTCAGTTAAATTACCTAAAGAATGAAAGAGATTTTCATGAAGAGAAGTTAACTGATTGAAATTTAAATACAATACTTCTAAATATATTTGATGATGAAAAATAAAACTTTCTAATTCTTTTAATTTATTTTGAGAAATATCAAGCACTTGTAGGAATTCAGAGTACATAAATAAATCTTGTGGTATATAACTCAAATTATTGTTAGACATGTACAAATATTTTAAGTTTTGCAAAAACATAAATAAATCAGCATCTAGTTGAGTCAAAGAATTATACGAAAGTCGTAATTCTTCTAAGGCAGAAAGAGCAACAAAAGTTTCTTTCGGTAAACGTGAAATATTACAATGAGACATATCTAACATTTGCAATGATGTACTCTTCAAAAACGGTCCCCGATTTGGGAATCTCAGAGGATTGAAACTTAATCCAAGCACTTCCAAACGCTTATTATCAGAAAACACATCGGTATCAAAAGTTGTAATTCTATTTCTATCTAAATATAGGAATCTCAGATGTTTCAGTTCTTGAAATGCCATCCTGTGAATAAAGTTTATCCTGTTTCTCTGCAGGTACATCACATTCAGATAAGGCAGATGTGTAATGAGAAAAGTGTTGTTATCTAACTTCAGGATGCTGTTGTTTGTCATGTGTAAGATGCGGACTTCCGGATTGAGACCAAGCGGAAAACTGCGCCATGATCCAGAAGAACAGTTTGCCTTGAGAGGGTGAGCACATCGGCAGCTCTCAGGGCAACTGAGGACTGGGGGTGCCAAATCCACTTGAGATGAAGATTCCAGAAGCATCAGCAACAGCACCAGCAGCACTGAGTGCTGTGCGCGACTAGCCATACTCTCAACCTGCAAAAACAAATTATGAGGTCAAATATTTCATTTCAACATTTTGCAACCATTCCTCTTTTATAATGAATTTAAAACTGTTGAGAACCAACAGGAGATTTGTCTGTGAAGAAAGACAAAACTGCTGAACACCAGTTTCGAAAACTAATATTTTAACCAACTTAATTTGCCAGTTTGAACCCAGACCATACAGTTCTTACCCAACACACCCTGAAATTAAAATGCTATCCCAACACAGAAGAAATTTAGGTGGATTAAAGCTTCTGATATAAGATTTGGTAATTTCTCAATAATGTATAATGAAATATGCCTTTCAAAATAGGGTTTGCATTAATCAATCTGCAATATAAAAATTTTGAATTATTAAAGAGCATGTTACGAGTCAATGCAACCAAAATTCTCCTTCCTACACAATTTCATCTGCAATATTGCTTTGATGGAAAAACAAGAATTAAGATAAAAGAAAAGAGTAAACATGAAATATATATGTACCAAATTTTTAAGTGTTGAAGAATGTAGGAAAGTCTTTCAATTCTTAATCACATCTAATTTTGATTCCCAAATATATTATTTTTAGTTAATTTTTTCAGTGTATTGTAACCACAAGTTACAACATAAATGTAGAAATCACAAAATGAAAATGGAAATGCAAATTTATTTATGCAAACTTGTCTTTTTTTAAATTATTATTAATTGATGTAAAATGAGATGTATTCTTGTATAGAATAAAGATAAATCTGTGTATGCAAAGCAAATGTATATATTTACTGTGGTTGCTTATGAGCCTGGCAGTTTAAAAATGACTTTAAATAAATTTGTTTTAAAACCAAAGAAGAGATTCGATCACATTATTTCCAGGTCATTCGCACAAAGATATTAGCCTCAAATGGGAACCCTTATTCTCGTAACATAATCAGGAATAGCGGATTTGGAAAAACCACGACGCAACGCCCGCTTCCTATTCACACGAGCGCTTCCCTGATGTCACAACCCGCTCGGGGCTAGGGGTGGGGTAGCTCAGAAGTTTCAAGAACTTCGCGGCGGGGGCGAACGAAAGGGAATGCAAAAAGACGAACGATCCCGCGTATCTATCCCGCCCTCCCGTGCTATCGGGGTCAAAGAAGAAGAAAGATTCCGAAAGTAGGTCGGTTCGAGGGTGGCGAACTGCCGGACTGGTGTCCCGCCCTCTTTCGCCCCTCAGAAAGACATCGGAACAGACGAGCGCCTACACCCACCCACACGTTCCATTTGTGTCGTGATTTCAGGAGAAACTCTGCAACACTCTCCTCACCGGTTGTTTCTGGACCCAAAAATATGCAGTATTTACCCCAACAAGGATCTGTCAATTCGGTAGCTTGAAAAACTGATGATAAACAGATCAGATCACGTAAGTTTTCTGTCAACAAAATGTCGAAAAAGTTACAATTATCGTCAATATTAACTAAACTGACTCAAGAACTCATTACTGACACTGCTAATATTACATAAAAATATAGCTCACTAAATTCAATTTTCTTTTTTGGAAATTAAGTACTTCTAGATTTTCAAACTTTGATCAAAAGTGGCATAATTACAATTAAATTTACAGGAATTAACGGAACTTACAAGCAAGAACTTCATAATCATTCCTAACCTCTTGCAATCTAAAAGGCAGCAAAACTGCTAGACTGTCATTCAGATATCACATTCAATAATTTTTGGATTCAAGGTGCACCTACTTTTTAACATCTACATACTACAAACACTTACATAAAAGCATACTTTTTCAGTCCATCAACTGTCTTGCAGTTGAAATGCCAGAAACAAGACATATGGTCACATAACTAAATGTACACTGTACCAGATATCATGCCCAACCCTACAAGCAGGAAGAAGCTTTATCACCTTATCTGTCATACAGTGCAGCCAATACATGAAATGTCAGTCATCTCAAGATACTACATACGGCTCAACAAATAGAAATGTTAATGAGAACACAAGGGAAGAAACTACTATTGACTGTCGAAAAGATTTTTATTTTGCTGTGAGAGTAATGCAAGTAATCCATTCAATAGCTTGTGAGATTTATCAACGAACATGCTTGTGTTGCAACAAATTTAATTTTGTGCAAGTTAATATTTTTAAAAAAATGTATTTTCCTTTCCTCTCCATTTTAAAAACCAATATTGTTTCAGCAATGGGTGTTTTGTAACTTGAACCACAGTTTTTTGTTTGTCTTTTTATCATTACTATTATATTTTCCATTATGTTAGTAGGATGGGTGTTGGAAAAGGTAGGCATAGGGAAAACCTTAAAAGACATCCAAGCTATACTAATATTTATTTCCAATATGCGTGAATCCAATGAGAAAAGAAGCCATGCTCAAGACAAGAAAAAGACAATTCTTTTGTTTATCATTTAAAAAATTTAAAATATTGCCCTCTAACACATGCAAGGATGAGGAAATTAAATACAAGCAGTTTTTTATCATTTTAACTAAAATACTGCCCAGTTCTTCAGACATGACACCATTGTTACATGTTAATAAAAATATTCAAATTTGTACAAGAATATTTATAGTTTACAATTTGCATTTACTTTACATAACTATTTTGCAAGTAAACTCAATTAAATAACAAAAAAATATTCTGAAATACCATTTTACATTTTTTTTTTAAATGTAACAAAACTAGCATCAATTATTTGATGGTATAATGGGGTATTTCTTAATTCATAAACTCATAAAAAAATATAAAGGATGCTCTAACACCTTACCTGTCAACTACTACTTTTCAATGCCACTACATTTAACAATGTATACATCTGAAAAACACAATGTATAATTCTTGTACAGCACTGAGTTTCTATAAAGCTAGACTAGCTTCTTTCAGTCACACGAGCCATCTTCCCAGCCTGTTTTCCAACGCTCATCAACTTTTGAACAATCAAATTCCTTCTTCCCTAACCGACGGTTAATATTATTATGAACTCTGCACAACCATTGGGACAATTCTTTTTGCGAATCAGTTTTAGGTGGTGATTCCTTCAACCTGAAATCATTAAAAATAATGCAATGAATGATTTCAATACTATTACTCAATTTTCAAATTATTTTGTACTCACTGGTTTTTTAAGTCTTCAGCACAATAATTGCAAGGATAGAAATTAGAGAAAATAGAAAAAAACTGTTTCATTTCTGCTTTCTGCTCAGTTGATGGTTTCTCTGGATAGTAGGCTGCCATCGTATGCAGAAAGTGCCATGTGTGATTGCCTGGTAAAGAAAATAATAGCTGTTTGTTAATCGTCACAGAAAACAATTAGTAAATCTGAGTATATACTTTGCAGCTACGCTTATTATGATTCTCACCCAGTTGATCCTTTGACAGAGGGCATGGTTTGTCTTCTACTTCTACTTTCTTCTCGTTACTAACCTGTATCAAAAGAAAAGAACGACATGAAACAACGACACAATTGTTTAAAATGTGGGTTACCATTAGATTGAGGTTAGGTGCTAAAATGCAACTGCATTACTCTATCACTACGCAAAACGAACAGTTAAAACTGCATGAATAATTACGTTTTCCTTGTTTAAAGACCGTTTCTGAAGTTTTGTCCACGACTGAAAATCAGTGCACGCTCTGCAAGGTTTTTCAGCAGTGCCTCTATAAGAATCCTTTTCAGTTGCCATATTTAGAATGCACGCATTTTAGTTAGTTTGTCATGCATATCATGAGCTGCGCAAGGATTTGGAAGGAAACAAGCTTATAAGTACAGAACTGAATATTGAAATATGATGAAACGGTGCAGAATGTGACGATACTGGAAGTTGACTCAGAAGCGCGGAGAAGAAATGCAATTCACTGAATAGACACAAACTCAAACCTCTTTCTTCTTTCCAAGAACAAACGTACACTGAAACTTCACTTCACAGTCATCTTTGTTGTCAACTAATAAACTCTAATTAAAGAACTTCAAGAATAAAAGAGCCCTAAAATCAACTAAAACCGCCATGTTTGCGACTAATTTAAAGTGTTTATTTTGCATCGTAAAGGAATGGCGACTGTTTTCGTAATGGCTGTTGGTCGGGTTGACATTGACAGGTGGCAAGTTTTCGAGTGCTTGGGACCATACACCAAAAAAGAAGTGTGAATAATTGTAATCGTCCGATGGTTCCTAATTTACGACTATTTTGTCGTGAGTGACGCTTTGTAATTAACTCGCTTAGAAAAATGGCTGAATTTTTAGCCGATAATAATCCTTGTGGCCAGTATATTCTGAGGCTGGTCTCCAGAGGAAATGCAATTATTGCCGAATTATTACGTCTGAAGCACTATATACCCCCAGTTTTCAGGTTCGTAAAATACCAAGTGATGTTAATGTTACTTGGAAAATGTCACTGCAATGTGCATGTTAACCAAGTATTTATCCTGTATTTTTCAGACTTGAGACTAAACAGGATCAACAAAAATATGGAGAAATTATTTCTGACTTTAGTTATTTCAAAATGTCAGACGATTTCGATCAGAAAATTGATAAAAATCCAGTAAGTGTTGATTAGAAATTATCATTTACACACCTTCTTTCTAGATTTAAGATGCTACTTCTATTTAGACTACAACTCGCTTCTTGTCCTTCGATCTTGGAATATATATTTATATATTATCTTTGTTTATATATTTATAAAAACTGAGTACTCTGAACTGTAAGACTATAAGCCAAGTTTAATAAATTTTGTGAGATTAATCTGTTAATCTTAATAATGAAGAAGTGGAGGGTAAAGTTCTTTCATATTTGTAAAAATTCTGCCTTTTAATTAACACTGAGGATTAGTAAGTTTTTAAAACTCAACACAGACATTTTAATTGAAAAATAATGAATAGTGTAAAATAAAAAGTTGAGTTTTCAGAAATAACATTTCAAAGAGGTTATTTCTGACAGCCAAAAACTTAAGGAATAAAATGAAGTTAAATTCTGAATAAAATTATTAGATTTATTTCTAACATGTTTTTGATTATTGATTTTGATAATATTCAAGTTTTATGTATTGATAAAACCTAGTATTAGAGTTTATTTTTCAACACATTTTTGATAAAAGCACTTTTCAAGCAAAGTATTTCAAGAGCATTTTTGAGTGCACTGAGAACAGATTGACTCAAATATATTTCTCATTCTTTAACTTGGAAGGAATGAGATAAAATAAAGAATGCAACCTGATTATTTAATCTGAATATGCATTTTTATAAAGTACCATGCTGAAATTCACTGATAATAAAATGTGGATGAGTGTAATGCTGTTTTCTTAACTTGGTATGGCAGTATGTTCATTCCTGCCATTCATGAATTCTATTTAATTTTTTGATACAAGGCGCAGAGATTTTAGGAAGGCCTTTCTTTGTGTTTCTTTTCAATTTCTTATGATTTGATACTTTATTATATGTAAGTTGTATATTAATTTATAATTCTTATGAAATGTTTTAAGAAATCATTTTTATTTAATTTCATTGTAGAATTTTCATTTTTGGATTATAGCAATTACAAGACCTGGATGAAGAATTCAGAGAAAACTACTCGGAAATCTTGACAAGATTTTACTTGACATTTGAAAGCATTCATAAATATGTGAGTGACTTAAACAAATATTTAGATGATCTGGAAGAAGGTATATATATCCAACAGACATTGGAAAGTGTTCTTCTTACAGAAGAAGGAAAGCAAACATTGGTAGGGATTTTCTATTATTAAGATAATATGATTATTTATTTGAAAATATTTTTTTTCTAATAATATAATTTGGATAATATTTCTATACTTTTAATTAATATAAATGTGTCATCTCAAAATTTGTGTTGAAACCACATATTTGAAAAATTGGAATGAAGTATGCTGAAAGTTGAGATTAATTGCTTTGTACACATACCAAACCCTTATTGATGATTATTGAACCCTTCCAATCTAAAATATCTACAAATTCATTAATTTTTATATTTGTGTTTCATTTAGTGTGAAGCCCTCTATCTTTATGGAGTGATGCTGTTACTAGTAGATCTCCACATGGAAGGGACTGTCAGAGAGCGAATGTTGGTATCATACTATAGGTACAGTGCCCAGCAGTCACATGCGGAAAGTAATATTGATGATGTATGTAAGCTGCTAAGATCAACAGGCTTCATAAATTGTCTTGGGTCAAAGAGAACTCCCAATTATCCAGAAGATTATTTCAAGTATGTCTGTTATGAGAAAGATTTTTTAAAGAATACCTTGTTTGGCATGTTACCTGTGTTATAATGAATTTGTGTTGTTTATTTTTTTATATTAGGAGAATACCAGTAAATACTACGTATGTGAACATGGTTCTTGGTCGTCTTCGTTCCGATGATGTATACAACCAGATTGCAGCATATCCCCACCCAGAACACAGAAGCACTGCTTTGGCCACACAAGCTGGCATGCTTTATGTGTGCCTGTTCTTTGCCCCTAATATTCTGCACAACCAGACAGCAAAGATGAGAGAAATTGTGGACAAATTTTTTCCTGATAATTGGGTAAGTATTACTTAGTGGGAATAAAATACTTAATCATTAACTCATAAACAAATTATTTTTATGTATCAAATTAATTAAATTGTATATCAATTGTATATTTTTGAGATGTAGTACATTTGAAATCTTTTAAAGGTGTAAGTGAATTACTCTGAATAAGTTGTCATTTTAAAACTGCTTAATAAAGTGTAGTTCATTTTAATGAGGACTTAAAAAAATTGTTTAATTTGTTAGTTGAAGAAATAATAAGAACTACTTTGAAATACTGTATTGTTTAGAGTTAATTTAATTCTGTCAAATATCAAGAACCATATCTCTGCTTTTTTTTATTGTGATTTAGGTATTTTGTTTTATTGTATTTTTAGGTTATCAGCATATACATGGGTATTACTGTCAATCTAATAGATTCATGGGAGCCTTACAAAGCAGCTAAAAACGCTCTCAGCAATACATTAGATGCAGCTAATGTAAAAGAGCATGCAACACGGTATTCCACCAGACTTCAAGTGAGGCTTCAAATTGTTATTTAGTATATTATTTATTGACATATTTGTTGGATATTTTGGTATTAATTTTTCTTTTATTTTATGTGTATGATTTGGGATCTAATTTTTATGAGCAATTAACTCATTCCCATTTTTTCTTGTTTTAGAAACTCATTCCACAAACAAGACAACTGCTCAAGGAAGGGGCATTAGTTGAAGATAATGTTTTAGATCATGTCAATAAAGTGATTTACATAATTAGAGAATGTAACGTAACTCTTCGATGGCTGATGCTCCATACTGCTGTGTTAAGTATTAGTGAGTATTTTTTGAGAAAAGAAAGATCCTGGTTTTTGATGTTTATCTTTTGATCATTATGTTTATCTCAGAATGTTGTGTTGAAGAATCTCTTTATTAGAATTTTCATTAATAAATTTCAAGATTTTCACTTTTTCCAAAACTTGTTTCAGCAAATATGTTTTCAATTTTGAATTTATAAAACATGAAACATTTGATCAAACTTATTAAATGCAATGTATTTTTGATATAAGTGGTGTCTTTTTTCTCATATTAATGAAATTGAATGGTGGTGGTGGTTTTTTTTAGCTTCTGCTGGAAATAAGAGATGTAAACAAATTCGAGACCAAGTGATTTCTGATACAAAATACAAAGCTTCAGAAGTTTTTGAACTTTTGTTAAATACTGCTGAATTTGAATTAAAAATAAAAGATCTTTTTAAACATGTAAGTTTTCAAATATTAAATACAATATTAATGACTAGTGTCGGGAATACTGTAATGTTTATTATTCTGTTCCAGCTTCTCATGGAAAAACAAAAGAAGTGGGAAGCTTGTAAAAAAGAGTGTGTGGAAAGAATGATTGAATTATCCGAAGTCTTTTCTGGATCAAAGCCTCTAACAAGAGTAGAAAAAATAGGTTTGTTTGTATGATTATTCATCCAATTGAATTGTTTTGTGATCTTCATGTAAATTTGTTAATGAACATATTAAATATTGATTTTCAGATAATTTGAAATCATGGTTCTCTGATTTAGCAAAAGAAATAGAGACCCTAAATCATGAACAAATTACAGCTGCAGGACGAAAAATTGTGCAGATGATCCAAGCTTTAGAAGAAGTGCAAGGTATTTAGTGAATTTAGCAGGTGCATGTCATTGAAGGAGAATTGTGTCTCATGATTCTTGTCTTATCAGAATATCATCAGCTGGACAGCAATCTCCAGGTTCGACAGTTCCTGGCTGATACACGCCGCTATTTGCACCAAATGAATCGTACTGTAAGCATTAAAGAAGAAGTTCTTATAACTCTGCAAATTGTTGGGGACCTGAGTTATGCATGGGAACTTGTAGACACATATACAAGTATAATGCAAGATGGGATTAAACAGGATCCATCCCTTGTCATTAAATTAAGAGCAACGTTTCTCAAGGTATGCACACTGTATTTTGTTTTAGTGTTTTCAGTACTCACATTTAACATGAAACATTTTTTTAAACTATTTGTTTGTTTTATCCCAAAACTTTTCAGCTGTCATCAGCTCTTGAAATTCCTCTTCTTCGAATCAACCAGGCACGAAGTCAAGACTTAGTGTCAGTTTCACAATATTATTCAGGGGAACTAGTAGCTTATGTGCGCAAAGTTTTACATATAATTCCAGAAACAATGTTTGGATTATTGGCTCGAATCATCCACCTGCAGACATCTGTTCTCAAAGAGCTTCCGACCAGGTTGGAAAAAGATAGATTAAGGGAGTTAGCTCAACTGGAGGAAAGACATGAGGTATGTCCAGTATTCTTAAAAATGGAAAGTTTTATTCTGGAAAAAGGAGACATCCTAAGAAACACTGAGGTTCAAGCCTCATGGACAATGGTGCTTGATGCTACACAATTTTGAAGTGTAGTATTTTTAGTAATCAAGTTTTGGATATTTTAAAAACTAAATAAGTAATGATTCAAAATATGTCTACTATACATTAATAATTGTTAGAGAATTATAATCAGTGAATATAACAACATCCACGTGCCTCTTTAAAAGTAAAATTTTATATAACCAGGATTAAACAGTCTACCAAACCTTTTTAACTTTTCATTGTTTATTTCAATTAAAGTTTTATATTATTTGAATGTATTAAATTACTTTTGAGTATTTCTGAAAAATTAACACAGACTTGAGCCTAGTAAGCGTATTAGTGAAGCATAAATAGTTCTTTTTTGCTGACAGGAAAGGTTGAAAACTCAAACTCTGAAAATAGTTGCTTAAAATTTTGAATCATTTTTATCATTAGTTCAATGGATATTTTCAACTGTGAGCAATATGCATGACCGTAAAGACCAGTATTTAATTTTTAAGTTTCTGCCTTTTATAAGTCACAGAAAGCACTGGTTGAACATGTTTCAGTAGTACATAGTTGAAGCACTTTCATTAAGAGATTTGTGTTACTCATTTCTTTATTCTGTAGGTGGCTCGCCTCACCCATGCTATATCCATTCTTACAGAAGGAATTCTTATGATGAAAAGTACACTTGTTGGAATTATTAGGATAGATCCCAAGCAGCTCCTTGAAGATGGAATTAGAAAAGAATTAGTTAAGCATATAGCCACTGCACTTCATCAGGGACTTACTTTTAATCCAAAAGCAAAGGTCTGGCAATATTTCTTAATGACTTTTAATTTATTATTTTCATGTAGTTTACTATCTTTTCTATTATTCAGACAAGTGAACTGCACACAAAATTGGAAGCATTAGGGAAAATAATGGATGGTCATCGTCGCTCCTTTGAATACATTCAAGATTATGTTAATATATATGGTTTGAAAATCTGGCAAGAAGAAGTTTCTCGTATTATAAGCTATAATGTTGAACAGGAATGTAACAGTTTTTTGCGCAATAAAGTGCAGGATTGGCAGAGTTTGTATCAAAGTCAAAGTATACCAATTCCAAGGTTTCCCCCTGTTGATGGCCAATCAGTTAATTTTATTGGCCGTTTGGCAAGGGAGCTGCTACGAATCACTGATCCAAAGTAAGTTGTATCCCACTGTAAAGAAAGTTAACAGCACTGATTTTTTCCTGCATTCATTTTGTATAATATATTTATGTGTAACATAAAAAACTTTAATTTCCATGTTGCTTTTTTTCTCAAAAGAACCACAGTTTATATTGAACAAATGACAGCATGGTATGATGCAAAAACTCATAGCGAGGTGATCAATCTGAAATTCTTTTCAAAAGTGTCTAAGTCAGTTGGAACTGCTGGATTGACTGGTCTTGACCGTCTTTTGTGCTTCATGATTGTAACAGAGCTTCAGGTAGGTATTATTAGCCAGTAGATTTCTGATCCATTTTATAAAATAAATAAGGCATACTTTCCTTAATATGTGTTCCTTTTTCCAACAGAATTTTCTTGGTGCTTTACAAAAGGGTGTCCTTAAGGATAAACAGTGGGTTGAAATGTTTTCTTCTGTCTCAAAAGGCATGACACCCCTCAGTGGTACTGTTAGTATGTATCCTTCGTTTTCTTAATTGCAGTTAATATAGTTTGGTGTACTAAGGGAAATATCAGTGAAAATGAGTAAATTAGATAATGCTACTTGGTTTTTATAGTTGTGTCCTTGTCAAGTAACTTATGAAATTAACTTACATAATGGGATTGTGAAATAAATATACTTCTATTTCAATTCTACATTTTTATATGGTTTGAAATGTTTTGATTAATGTCTAATTTTTTTTCTTCATTACAGGTAATCCTAAAAATTTTTATTCTCAGTTTATTTCAAGAGCTCAGAAAGTATGGCCACAAATATTGGAGTGGATATTAAAAATTGGTCAACTGCAGTTGTTGAGAAAGCATATTGCTTATGAGCTCAATATATCCTGCAAGTTTAATTCTAAATATCTTGCCAGTGCACTACAAACTATGAATGAGTAAGTTTCAACACTGCATAGAATTACACATGACCAAATAACAATCAATTGATTGGCTTTTTGCCCTTCTAGTGCTGTCCTGGCTGATATTGAAGCACATTATAAGGATCCAACTAAACCATATCCTAAAGAAGAGAGTCCTCTTTTGTTTGATCTGGCCAACTATTTGGATTGGGCAGGAATTAGCAATCCATATGCAAAAATTTATATTACTACTAAGAATTTGCAGTATTTTCCTCTGCTTACATTTTTATTTGTGATTTCACAACTTCCAAAACTGCAATACATGAAGCAATTGGGTAAATATGTTTTCATATTCTTCCATAGCCATGATTTTGTGTACCAAGTGAGGAGAAACATTCACCAATTTTAACATGAGCACTTCATATATCTTTCAATGGTTTTCAAGTCTGAAAATTATTGTAATGTTTCAAAGAAAAATTTCTTGATATTCTCAAGATAATGGGTCATGACATTATTAAGATAAATTATGAGCAATTATTTCTTTTGCAAAATTTGAGTCAGATGATGGTTAGGTTATATATTTGACTAGAATAGATTCCATGTTTTCTTTTCTTTTTGTAGGAACTTTGCTAAGTCGGAAATCTCAAGAACCTTTAGATGGTGTACCGTTTGTGGTTGGTGTTCAGACTGTCTTTCGACAGTTTCATCCTGAAATAAGAAATACATTTTTATTGTACTTGTCTCAGTATGTAAAGTCATATGTAGAAATTAGTACTTGGTAAGCTTATGTTTTTCAGTTGAGAATGCTTCATGTCAAAGTTCTAGACTTTATGTCAAATTATTATTTTCATGCAATCTGGTTTCTTTACAGTAATAAGCCAACAGACTTGCCAGGAGAAGTTGTAAATACTCTTCACTTCATGGAAAATTTTGTTCATCATTCAGGTCTTCCTCGGAAAATACTAGCAAACCATATTCCAGATTTGATATTGGATGAATATGCATCTGTTAACTCCTGAAAGCGTGCTAATAGATCTGTTGTTTTGCAGTGCGCGTATACAGCGTCTGTTACACGGCAGAACTTGGTGTGAATTGATTATGTTTTTCCATGTGAACATTTGGAAACGTATAATAAAATATGCTATGTTCAAGAATAGCAATCTTAAATGTATTCATTAAAATGGTGCTTTCAGAGATATATTTGCCAAAATAGTTAGCTGTGATTGATTAGTCACTTGTAAATAAAATATTTCTTACATTCCATTATGTGGAAAATTGTCTAGCCTTAGTTACTCAAGAATGATTGGGAAGACCTCTTTTTGATGCTTTGATCATAAGATATTGACTCCATAAGTACATACCTTAATACCAAAGGATAAATATAAATTATCCTACATTCGTACTGGAAATAAAATTTCACAGCAGAGGCAGCCAAGACTGATAACAAATTTGAATAATACATAAATAAATTTCAATTTTCTGTCAAAATTATATTTCTGAATGGTATAGTTAAAGTGTGCTTTCATAAGCAAACAGAAAGATTATAAAGATGTCATACTGTAATATATTCTGTTATGAATACTTGTGCAAAAATTGATATGTAATGTTGTCTTGTACTTTAATATTATACTATTTGATTAATATGTGTGATTTTACCTTCTTACATAGTTTTATTTTATCCATTTTCTATTGGTGAGTGTATGTTTTGGAGTTTTTGAATTATTCATTAATCCCTAACTACTTTGGTACACATTTGTATTGACTTTGATTTATTATAACAAGGATCATACATTGCATGTAATATGAAAGGTAGCATTCCTGAGGAGTTCATCTCATTTAGTATTCATACGTTTCTCCCTGTGTTTATTTCTTTGGGGAGAAAAAACAACTAACTTAACTTCTTCCAATTAATGTTATTAGTTCCTTGTTTTAATAATCAGTAAAATTGTGCAACAAAAGTTTCATTTTTGCTTCGATCCTGAACTGGTTATCCAACGATCTTACTTTCTGGATTGGTTACATTTTCATGCTTATTTAATGATCAATGGATGTCAGTTCTCATTAGGGATTATTTTATATATCTGGCAGAAACAAAAGTCAATTTGCATAATGTTGAAAATACTCTTAAGTAATTTATAAATTTTCTATGAATCTATTTTTTTAAGACAATGGATTGTTGGACTCGAAAGCCCACTTTCTTCCATTGTAACAAGAGATCATGAATTAACAGTGGACTAATAAGTTAGCATTTGGCTTAGAATTACTTTGTCACTCGAAAGATTTTGGTCAAAGTTTCTTTTCTCTGTTCTGCATTTGACCTTGATAGTGTAATCCAAACCCAGGGAAGTGTAGCACTCAAGAGTATTCATTGATGCAAAGTGTAGTTAGGTGGCTGGGAAAGCCAGTTTGTTGTTGTGTGCTATGGAGTGCCAACTGTAGGTACATCATGGTCTCTGGTTCATAGTAGCATAGAATTGAAAAATACTTCAAACAACAGGTTTTGTAAAATAATTCATTGAAGCTATTGTTTGTAAGAAACTTGTGAATAGGATGCCAAAAGTCATCAAAAACGTTATTGTGGCAAAGGGTGGCTTTTTGTATGAAGAGTTTTTTTAAGTTAAAATGTTTCGAAGTATTGTGTATGTTTATATTATACATAATATTTATGCATAAGATATATGGATAGTCAATGACCACAGTGTATAAGTGTATTATTACTTTCTCAATCTATTTTTGATACAAATTTTAAATTATTAGTAGTGTCCAAATGCTTTTGACAAGCAGTGTATGAAAACTTCTCTGAAGTGAAAATTGAATATAAGGTGTTAAAAAAAAAAAAGAGTGGCCTTAATCTTTGCAATCAATTAGCATTCTTGAAACAGTCTGCCAGTGAACTTAAAAAATTATTTTCAAGTCTTTCAACAAAACCTTTGAACAGAGATTCTCCATCCACACAAAGCTGAGTTTTAATCTTAGAAGGATAATAAGAGAATGAACCCAAGATCTTACATTTCAAAAATATGACCTACACAAATAAAAATCTAGTAAAAAATCCAAAGGTTGGAGAGATTGCAGAAAATCAAATTTGATGGAAAGACCAGGAACACCTTAGGGACTAAGGAAATCCAAAGTTTGAAAGGAACAGGGCATGTTGATCCAACCCTTACAAGATTATGATAATGATATGAGATCGTAATTAGAGAATGAAATTTGTGTCTGAGGAGGTAAATGATCAGATATATTGAGAAAATTTAATGTATTTTACAATTTTCATCCCAAAAAATATCTATTCCGTTAAATTGGCCTGAGTGGAGATGTTTTGTCTTTTATTTTTGAAATAGTTTCTCCTCTTTGGAATAACGTATTAGTAAACAATAAAAAAACATTTTACTTCACTGACCAATCTTGTTTAACAGTTTTTAGGCCACTATGCTCAGAATAAAACATATTTGCAAAGTCTATGTGGTTGTAAACATTTGAGTTTGGCTAGAGAAATTGACCTCTTATTGTTTACAAATTAAACTAGAGAAAGGCCATCTTATTGAATACGCTGAAAAGTGTAAACATTTGAATTTTTTAAATTTCATTACAGTACAGTTGCTGCAATCATTTTTGAGGTGGAAAGAATGCTTATCTCCCACAAGAAAACACTGGCAAAGTTTATTATTTGAGTTGGTGGAATTTTGGCACCCACACATAACTGTCGAAAAGTCATAATCAACATGTGACACTAGACAATATGTTACAGAGGATCCTACATCTTTATTTGGTTTTTATCACTATATTAAAAATGAAATTCCCATTACTTTCCAGGGAGGGAACTAAAAAATTCCAACAACAAAGAGAGCTAAAATGTGTACCCTCATACACCTTAACAACATCAACAGAGAAGATAAAATAATTACTTCCTGAAGATGCCTAAATTATCTATAAGAAAACATTAGCTACTAATCTTAACAAAAAGTTTTGTTGTTTTTTTCAATTGTCTAATGAAATAAGAGAGTTTAATTGTCATCAATGTTTACCTAACCTAATAAACCTATTTTTTTCATTTCAAACTAGCATGTTAGCTGAAAAAGCAAATTACTTTTTTCTATCTAAATCTCATCAGGGTAATGATATCATTATATATTTATATAGTCTTTATGCTATAGTATCAGGTTATAAAATAATTTGAAGAATAGTTACAAGTAAGGATTCTATTTGAAAAAGCAGTAATTTCAAGCCCATAAAAGTAAAATGTCTTAATCCAATTTTGGTTATGTCATTGCATATTTCCAGTTAAGCTTAATTAACATTCTATAAAAAGCAAATGTTATAACATTTTTGTTTAATTTTGATTTAAATATGAATAATTTATCAAACATTTATCTACAAGGTAATGTATGCATATGTATCAAAAAATGCATTTGAAACACCAATTTTTTATTAACATAACTCTTATTTAACTCGGGAAGGGGAGGTGGATCTCTCTGGGAGGAGGGAACAAGTATTATAAATATAAGGGTGGTTCTTCTAAGAGCTAAATTTTGCAGCTTTTGTTTTAATAGTCTGTAAACATGTTCTCTGTAAAGTAAGATATATTGTATGAAAAAGAGCTACAAGTTTAACAAGAACCAGAAGTGCCTTCTTTCATATTCAAATAAAACAAACTTTCAGGAAACAACAATTATGAACTTTTTATTAACATTGTTCATATTTTGCATTGTACATTGCCCTCAGTGCAAAACTCCTTGTGCTAACACGCATTAGGACAATACTATCACACAATCATTCAAAACTCTTTTAATTTACAGAATCACTCAACACACACTTTTCACTAAAAATATATTTTTTTCCATCAAAGCATGACACTAAGTACATGGAAATAAGCTGCATGACAAATGTGGGTTCTTCACCCCTAGTCTATGTTTGTACAACAAATGTCTTCTATGTACTTATAAGATATAATTTTATGGATATAAGCTTCATTTAAGTTTTCAGTGTTCCTCAAACATAAGAACATTGGCCAGCATTCACAATTTTTGCAAGTTACTATGCAACATTATCCGAGGTATTCATCATACAAAATTAAGTAGCAATATTATCAAACAGTACAGCAATTGATAGAAATTATTGCAGTTAAATAATGCATAGCACTTTGTTCAATAATATTCGGATAACAATGAAGAAATTCTTTATCACAGTTTGAGAACCACTGATCTGCACCATCCATGGAAATATATGATATTTTGGAATATCATTCTTTGACAGCAGCCTTTCTGATTTAATCACATACATACTTCATAAAAATCATACGAACAAACTTCACTTACACATTCATGTTCTTGCGAAGCTCACAATGTTCGTTTATTTAAATAAAAGGATTTTCTCCACACTAGCCACATCATAGCACCTTTGTACATTAAATTAACCCTAGAAGTCATGTCCATTAAGTCATGACTGTCCTTCACACTTCTGTAACCTCTGTCAAGCTTACCAACTTGAAACAATTTCTAGAAGCCCAGAGTTCATGAATCTTTAATATTCCTACTACATGCTGCAAATCAGAGTACCTCAGACCATATACATCTGTATTTCTTTTACTAAGGCACAATAAAAGCTTCTAAAATTGAAATATTGTGTGCGATTTCTTTACTATAAATATGAGACATCAAAGAATGTATAATTCTTATTCATATTATAATTTTTTCTGCAATTGTGATGTTTCAAAGCCCTAACTAGCAGAAATAAAAAAACCCTTTCCTACTCTGGACTTCTAGTCACTTGCATTAGAACAACAGAAGTCCGAAAAACACAACCTTCAAACTTCCTTTGGAAGCATAATATTGAACACAAGTAACAATATTTGTTCATCTTTGAAAATGATCAACAAATATGAAATGATGATATCATCTGCAGTCAGTACCAGTTTCTCTCGTATAAAAGTACTTCTGATGAAGGGTTTAATGGACCCAGATGAAACGAGAGATCACGTTGAAAGAATGAAATGTCCACGAGAATGAAATTGGAGAAAATGTTTTTAGTATAAAGTATCTTGAGACGGAGTTCCACTCTCGCCCTCCTCCATGTTTCCTAAGAGATTCTTCTTTTCTTCAGTCTTTGATACTGATTTATCACTTGTTCGAAGTTGAGGTTCATAACATGGCTGTAAATGCATACCCTTACACTTAATATGATATTATAAGTAATTACAATAAAATTATTATACCCTTTACCATTACCCCATTGTAATGGCAATAGCTCAGGACTTGGGGTTATATAAAATGCATTTCTGATCTGATGTTTCTGGAATGGGACTGCTTACCGTTTCACAGATGTTCATATTGCAGCAATTTTCTATAGTAATTTCACACTGTTCACCCACAGGAGATGGGCGACATGTTAATGGTGTTGGTGTAACGTTTTTGCTTACAATAATTCTCTTCTTTATTCGGGGCCGCCTTCTTAGCCTTATCACACTTGTGATGAGGCATACAATAACAATTAAGAATATTACACACAGTCCACCAACAGCCATCAATGTAAAGCGCAACTGCATTTCAGTACTACTGTCTTTTTCATCAGAAAGTTGGCTTACAGTGGCATTTTCCATATTAGCAACATACAATCCATTTTTCCCTCCACATCTGAAACAAAGTTTAAAATTGTTAATGGTATAATACAAAAAATGGATTTTATGAATCCAAAATGAATTTTATTACAGATCAGTTTTCTAAGGTAATTTGAAAAATGTGCACATTTTTCTGTGCAACAGAGTTATTTCATAAATATACAATACATAGTATATTTAGAAATGAAACAAAGCAAAAAACTTACGAACACACAGGTTTTCCTGCATCATAAATGCCAGAACTTGGGTTGTTCTGGCAAAACAGATTGCAGTCAATTTCACACCGTGATCCTTGAAAATTGCCTTCTGCAGTTCTACAGTTGCATGTTGGTTCTGACTGGTTTTCCACATTACAAGAACCTCCATTCAGACAATAATTAAAGCAAACATCATGCTCACATCGGGACCCATTGTATCCATTATCGCAGCTGCATTGTATGGAACTATTTGAACCAATTCTACACTTTCCATTCACACAATGATCACATTTTTCACAAAACTGACCATAAAAATTTTGAGGACATTTACATTTAACATTCTGATTTAATTTAGCATGCAATTCATCTGTGTTTAATACATTTGAGTCACTGGCTACTGGACGACCACCATTGAGGCATACCCCAGCACTCGGATCAACTTCATACATGTTTCTTTCAGCATCTTGTTCGCTGGAAGTTTTTCCTTGTGCACTACTGGCTGAACCAGGAGGATATGGCTTTATCTCAACCACTGTGTCATCAGAGGCACATTTTTGAATGCTCTTGTGTGACCCAATACTTCTGGGTCTGTCAGCTTCATAGTTGAAAATAGTTTCTTGTTGTTTCGCTTTTGTGTCTTTTTCCATCCGTTCAAATTTTTCCGATTCAATATTAATCCAATATATGAATTTTGCAGTGAGTGCAATTGATGTTGGCTGCACCCCACTACCGGCAATAAGCTCTTCTCTGGAAGATCCATCCAGATTACTTCTTTCAATTGTGTATAAAGAACCTGCTTTCATGTCACACCAGTATAGTTTCCTTGCTGCCTGGTCAATAGTCAGATCAGTTGGATTGTGCAAATTGTTTTGGTGCAGCTTTATTCTATTACTTCCATCAAGATTAGATGACTCAATGTAACCAACTCCATCACGTACTATGTAGGATGTCCAAAACAAAATTCTGAAAAATAAAGGAAAAAGAATTTTCTACATTCTAAATGTAAACTTGAAAATGGTAATGTTAAAAAACAATGTAATAGATTTTCTCAGATATATCATTAATTACCAGCAAGAAAAAAAATTAATAATTCACAATAATCACATATACTTACTGACTGCATTGATCCAAAGCCAGCCCACTTGTGATTAACTTAGAGATGTCACTGTCATGTAAAACAACTTGCTGCATGCTGCTGTCATTAAGTTCTACTTTTAATATTTTTCCACCCTGACCATTACTCCAAAACAAAGTATTTTTAATATAATCATGTTCTATTCCAAGAATCTTTCCTTCCATTTTTGCAGGAACATTTGTATCTAAAGAAGAAAGTGCAATGTAAACCAAATTGTAAATCAGCTTATCTCCATCTGGGAGAACTGCAATGACATTTTTATTAAGGTACTATCTTATTCTTGTGAAACAATAATTAAATTTGGAAATAACATTGAAATGTTAAATATCAAATCACATAAGAGCCAAGGAAGTTTTTGAGAAGTTTATAAGTACTAGTACTATGTAAAACTGGATATCCTTCATTAAACACTACAAATTGGATTGAAAATGAAAACAATACTGTGAAATCTTACCAGTAATGACAAGTTTCTCTTGGTACCCAGTAGATAGGTTAACTCTATATATGACAGTTGCATTTGACTGGATAATGCCACTGATGTACAGAATGTCTCGCTTGGGGTCGTGTACCAGGGGTCTTGTTGTTTCATGGTATGGCCCAATTAAATCAATTTTGTGCACAGCCACCAGGGATCCATTGCCCTCTTTGGCCAGATGCACCCCGTTCGTTACCGTAATGGAGACATCTGAAAAAGAAAACATATTATCAATTAACTTATTCTAGAATAATCCAAGCCCTACATTTTGCAAGAAACTTTCCATGGAACGCAGTACAACAGTTGGGAAGAGATTCCCAAGCGATCTTGTCCACCATACTTCCTAAACGGGTGGCGTAATTGATACACAACCCGAGAAGCAACAGTACAAAGACAAACGCAAGAACAAATCCGTGCAACCAGTCCACGCACAATCGCTCGCGTGTAATCCGTGCAACACGCGCGCCGTTCATTTTCCAAGACGTGAGGGCGTCCCTTGGCATTCGAGGGACCCGAGGGGCCTCCTCCTCCTCCACCTGTGCGTGGAGACGCTGCGCCATGTTAGGGTAGCGCCAACTGCTGCGACAGCGCACTGCCGCGAGCTGGCAAGCCCTCACCCGCCCGCCCGCTCCAAACCCTGCCACCCGCCCTGGTGCGTCGCCCCGCCAGTCCGACCGCGTCCCCACGACCCCGCCCACGCCCACGCCCACACCAACGTCCTGCCCTACCCACTGTCGCGCTTCCGCCATCATCGATTTCTGCGCCGCACGTACTCCGCAACTAGCAGCGCCTCGCAGTTAACTCCGGGCTGGAGGCGGTCGTCTGCTCTTCACTAGACCGACTATTTACTATTTCCTCACCAACACAACTCTATGCACAGAGTTTCATGTGGTCCGATAAAGCGTTGTTTGCACTCCCAAAACAAGAGAAAGAGACACCGAACGAGACGGATAACAGTCCAATGTCAACACGAGATGACCTCATAGTTACGCAAAAGCATACTAAACGGCTCCTAGAAACGGTAGTTACCATCCTGGGCACCTCATTTTCCCCGCAATTTGGAAGGATTTAAGACGGCTGCTATTGGCGTCTTGCGTGTGACGTGGGAGGGCAGGCAGGAGCGTATTGACCCGTTCGGCTCCCGAGGACGCGCCCTCCAACCTATCCTCCATCCCCTTCTCGAGCCTCCGGAGGGGGGGGAAGGGGGGGCGAGGTCTCTTAAGCGGCCGCAAGGGGGCCGCGCGGACGTCCGGCAAGGAATGAGGTCCCTTATTGGACAGGTAGCGTCTTCAAGCAGGCGCGGTCATAAGCACTAGAATTCCTCTACTTCGCAATGCAATGCCAATTTCGAGGCATCAACTAGATGGCAGTACCGACTGATCTATATTGTGAATGACGTACACGTGCTCATCCTCAGCTCAACGAGAGGGAGGGGGGGGGGTGCAACTACGTTTCTGGGACACTTTTACAAAACAAACCAACAATAAACTTTTCCTATGCCATTTTCTATTATTTACAATATAGACGGGGAATGAAATTGTCACTTTAATGGTGCAATTTGGAAACAATTAATTTAATGTTGAATCAGTTACAGGGTTGCTAGTCGATTTCGAGAGCATGTGTATATCAATTCCCCTAATTCGTAGGTTAAAAAAGAGGGTCAGGGATTAGACTTTGTGTTTTGGGAAATAAAATGTTTTATACCGTAAAGCTACAGGGATCCTTGTCAAAAATGTCAGGGGGTGAGGCTTTTCAAACATACAGGAGGTGCACAACCCCCCCGCCCCTTTTTGCGCATGCCTATGGGAGATTTTAAAGGAAACCAAAAGGCAAATTATTTCAATCAAGAAATCGATGTAATGTGAATGTGGTAGACAAGTTAAGTGGACAAGTATCACTTAAATCCCTTTCCTTCTTTCCAATGCTTCGGCGTAGATTCTAGACAGCCCCCTCAAACACACACACACACATACATACACACACGCACACACAAGATGGAAAATTGATTTAGGTCTCTTGGCATGAGTCAAAGCTCAATGACAATGACAACTCAAACATTATGGCAACCGGGGCATTCTAAAACCGCAATTTGACAGCTGTTTTCCGAGTGAAAACATACTCGAACAACCTGCGGAACCGAGACTGTCTTCCTTATATCGGGTCGCGACTACCTGAATGCGGAACTTTTATGAGCTACCAGACATAACAAATTCAGTATTGGATCAAATATCACCACGAACTCTAAAGAGTATCTGTAGAAACGAAACATATTCACAATTCTAACGCTCTGCATCTACGATATTTCATTTGAATTACATTACTGAATTTACCACTCGATTCCTTTTAAAACTAAGCTTATGACACAAATATAGGTGTTGTGGTGTGATATCTTTGGCATTTTTCATAAAATAATTAAAGACGTCATTGCCAACAATATTATTTAATGCAATAGCGACTACCTCGTTTTTGTGGCTTCCATCCAGCAGACAACTGATGATGATGGCTAAGCCATCGAAAGCTGCTATTGCATTAAATAATATTGTTGGCAATGACAACGTCTTTAATTATTTTATGACACAAACTCGAATTTCTAAAACCAACCCTGAAGCCGACAGTTTTAACAGACAGACAACAGCCTAGAATTTCGTTTCAAACAACTAATTTGATGGTCATAAACAAACAACCCTTTCGATCATTCATATTTTCCCACATTCTCATAGACCCTGTTTCCCCCAATAAGTTTACAAAGAAACAACTTGTTGCAGGGTTAAAACATTACTTCACAGCAGCACATCATTAAGTTCTTTGATGCCCAAGGGCAAGACACCAATTTCCATATCGGTTATGTAATGCTAAAAGAAGTAGCAACGGTGACAACAGCAAGAAGGATGGGCATAGTGGAAATGATAGATGACGTGTCAATCCCGACGGCGGAGGCTATTAACGGCAAAGAGAAGGATGAACCGTCAAGAGCATGGCAAATGGAAATGGTATTGAAAGAATGTCCCTAAAAAGTTGCGAACGGGTCCAAGACGAGCGGAAACGAAGAGTTCGGGGAAGAAACGGAAGAATGAAGAAGAACTCAAAGGAGCCATGAATGATGGGAGGAAACGAAAGGGTTTGGGGAGGAAAGATGGGATAGTTACGAAGTAAGCAGACCCGCTGGTTGCGAACGTAAGGCGAAGTTCGGCAGGAGGGTGACGACGGAGACGGCCAGGGAAGATTAGGGGGAGAGCGGGCATGGATGAACGGAGAGTGGGAGAGCGCGGCGGAGTGCCAGGGACAGCAGGGCAGAAAAGATCTATCAGCGAGTACGTGGTCAAAGTAGTGGGAGTCAGCGAGCAGGCGGCGTGCTGGAGGATGTGTGTGGAGGGCTGAGCGGGGGCTGAAATGTAGAGCGCGGGGCGGGGTACTCGGGATCTGAGCTGTGGGAGGAGCTTGGAGAGGGAGTAGGGAGTGGGCGAGGGGATCAAAAACGGGGGGAGTTAGCGGGGCCGGAATGACCCGGCTGTGCGCGGGGCGGAGGATTGGAGCGGGGCGGGGGCGTGAGCGGGGCGGGGGAGTGAGCGGGGCGGGGAGTGAGCGGGGGCGGGGGAGTGAGCGGGCGGGAGTGAGCGAGGCGGGGGAGTGAGGGGGCGGGGAGTGAGCGGGGGGGGGAGTGAGCGGGGCGGGGGAGTGAGCGGGGCGGGGAGTGGAGCGGCGGGGGAGTGAGCGGGGCGGGGGGAGTGAGCGGGGCGGGGGAGTGAGCGGGGCGGGGGAGTGAGCGGGGCGGGGGGACTGAGCGGGGCGGGGGAGTGAGGAGGGGCGGGGGCGTGAGCGGGGCGGGGGACGTGTGAGCGGGGCGGGGGAGTGAGCGGGGCCGGGGGAGTGAGCGGGGCGGGGAGTGAGCGGGGCGGGGGAGTGAGCGGGGGGGCGGGGGAGTGGCGGGGCGGGGGAGTGAGCGGGGCGGGGGAGTGAGCGGGGCGGGGGAGTGAGCGGGGGGCGGGGGAGTGAGCGGGCGGGGGAGTGAGCGGGGGCGGGGGAGTAGCGGGGCGGGGGAGTGAGCGGGGCGGGGGAGTGAGCGGGGCGGGGGAGTGAGCGGGGCGGGGGAGTGAGACGGGGCGGGGGTGAGCGGGGCGGGGGATGCCGGGCGGGGCGAGTGAGCGGGGCGCGGGGAGTGAGCGGGGGCGGGGATGAGCGGGGCGGGGGAGTGAGCGGAGGCGGAGGAGAGTGAGAGGGGCGGGGAAGTGAGGAGAGGATGACGAGGATGGTTTGTGTGCGCGTGTTGGGGAGGAGGGGAGAGTGGGTTCGACGAGCGGGCAGGGGCAGGGGGAGGCGATGCACCGAGGCGGGGATCGAGGCGGCGAGGGTGGACGAAGGGGACGGCGAGGGGCGGGCGGGAGGCGGGAGGCGCGCGCACGTGGGTGAATGCTGTCTCATCGACCGGCGCTCGCGGATCGCCCCGCGCGGCGCCCCAAGCGCCCACGACGCTCGCCTCGCCTCGCCTCGCCTCCGCCGGCCGGTCTACGTGACCGACGCGCGGCGCCGCATGGCACCCAGGGCCAGGGCTGCGCGGCGCGGCGATGGGTGGCGAGGGGTAGCGCGGGGAGGGGCGGCCGGGCAATGCGGCCCAGATGAGAGATCGCTGACAGACGCCTCTCGGAAGCCCCTCTTCCGACAACACAGAATGTATGCGGCATTTGACCTCGCCATGACGACCGCATACTTCACTATAGATGTACTGTATCAGAAATCAAGTAGATCAAATTGATGATAGATGACAGCCGACATTGTGGGAGATTATTAGCAAGAATCACTTAAAGCCAAATTGATCGCAGGTCTGATTTAACTTAATGCTACGTTTGAAGTCAAGTTCAGAATTTCTGGGAGAGAAACGATAAATACGATTGTATCATCGAAGGAAAAAATTATGTTAGGTAGCAAAACACTAAAAAGCGAATTGGCAAGTACATTTAATTGTACAATTTTGAGATCTTCGCCAGTAACTCGATCAATAAATTAAGATTAATACGTTAACGAGTGTCTTGAACTTTTAGTCTCATGATAGATGGTACTTCTAATTTATTTTAAAACATCACAACATTTTTTTTAAATTTATATGCCTCTTTAAACTTTTATTGCGGTCTCTAGAAAACATGGAAGCTTCTGTTAATGGTTCTTATCAATTCAATTTACTTAAAAGCGTTTTAAGCGCACCAATAATTTCCATGTTCCAATAGGTACTTGTTTTAGAGAGATGCCAGTTTAATGGCAACGAATAAGAAATCTTGTGTAATAATTATTTAGAGAAATTGTTTTCTTATAAAAGAATATGGAAGAGCAAAAATGAAAAGGCGACGTTTGTGAACGGGATTGTTTTCAACTTTTCAAGCGTCACGCATTTTAAAACTTTCTTTGTACAGTGTATAAATTAAAAAAATACAGTTTGAGTCTCTTTATAAGATACACTCATTTTTTTAATAATCATACGCAAACTTTACCTACCTAACAACAATACACATAAGGTAAGTCTACAGATATGATAGCCAGAAATGATCTGTGACCAGTGTTCGAAAGTGACTAATGTTTTATTCGACTCTTAATAACATTTTCTAATATACAGAAGAATCCGAGCTAATTTGGTATTTTTTTCCATTCTTTTCTTGTTCGAAAACATGTTCGACTAGCTTGCTTTCATTCACACTCCACAGGGAATAAGAAAAATTAAAAAAGTTCTTAATACCACATCACCAACCGATTACAATTTTAGCCG